ACTTCGTCGAAATAATACAATTTTAGCATCTAAATTTAATTTCCTAAATACTTCGGGATGAACTACCCCTTTTGGTAATTTAATTCTTTTTTCGACAGGTGGCCCTGGTGGTTGATATACCTTATAATTTGGAAGAGGAGGAATAGAAATTAAGAATTCTTTTTCTTTAATTTGTTCAGCTTTCAATTTCCTATATTCCACAAGTGGCATCCATTTTTCCCCAAGAGCAGCCTTTTCTTTTTTTAATTTTTTGTTATTACTGGCTCTCTGTGTGCCGGTAATTCTCTTTGGAATAGAAAAATATCCAGACACTGGAAAAAAAATGTTCAAAGGAAATTAATATCCAAAAAAAAAATTAAGATCTGATATTCAATTGGGAAAATGCGTAATCTAATTCGTCAATAATTGTTCTTTTCCAGGTAATACTTGAATGTTGAATAAGGCGTCTAATAATGAAATTTTGTTGTCTATTATTTTCAATCAGGGTTTTCATGTTTTTTAAAAATTTTAACGTCATTGCAAATTGCAGAAATAGTGTGCCATTGCTCATCACTTTCTTCCTCGATATACCACAAACGTTCGTCAATTTTGTTTTTTTAAGTTGGAATGGATCCGTTTTGCTCCATTATCTAAAATAAATTTTCCATTTTGTAATTTTGCAAATCCTCTTTTTTATGAGATTTTATTAATTATTCCAAGTATAGTATATATATATATATATACTAGAGGGGCTACGCCCCCCTGCGCGCTTCGCGAGCCAACCTTCCTATTTTAATCATTTTTTTTAATTTTCCATTGATCTTATTTTTCCAAATGAACCACCTATTTCAAAGAATTATTATTACAAATTCATTGAAATCTGAATAAATATTATTAAAATTAAAATTATTAAATTTTAATTAATAAATTAAATAAATTAATAATAAATAAATAATTAAATAAATTAAAATCGACATTAAGAAATTATTTTTAAAGATAATTTCAATGAAATTGCCTAACAACCAATAAATTATTAAAAAGTCTTGAAACGAACATAACCTTTATATTCAAGTCATTTTTGGCGGAAACTCCACCGTCACTTGCGGCTATATTGAAAGTCTTGAAATTTACATAACCTTAAAATTTATGTCATTTTTGGCGGGAAATACAGAGAGAGATGAGGGAAGGGGGAAGGACTTGCGGCTATATTCAGAGTCTTGAAACGAACATAACCTCAAAATTTAGGCCATTTTTGCGGAGGAGGGGAAATGAGAGGAGGGAGGTGGGACTTTCGGCTAAATTCAGAGCCTTGAAACGGACATAACCTAAAAATTTAGGAGGGGGGACTCCCCCCTCCTAGGTCAAGAATTCTTGAAACAGCGGCGGCGGCGGCGCTATCTTTTTGTAATATAGGAAGATATAATTGGATTTAGAACATTTAAATTTAGAAAAAAAAAATTTTTTTATTTAGAATTTTTAGATTTAGAACTTTTTGATTTAGAATTTTTAGATTTAGATCATTTGGATTTAGAATTTTTAGATTTAGAACTTTTGGATTTAGAATTTTTAGATTTAGAACATTTGGATATACTATTTTTAGATTTAGAACTTTTGGATTTAGAATTTTTAGATTTAGAACTTTTAGATTTAGAACATTTGGATTTAGAACTTTTTGATTTAGAATTTTTAGATTTAGAACTTTTAGATTTAGAACATTTGGATTTAGAACTTTTAGATTTAGAACATTTGGATTTAGAATTTTTAGATTTCCCTGGCGGATTCGATTTACCTAAAATCGACCCAGCTGGGTCGAATCTAAGTCGAATCTAAGTCGAATTTAGGTAATTATCAAAAAAAAGCTTTAAATTGATGAAAATTTATAAAAATTAGTATTGTGAGGTTAAATGAACATTCATAGAGTTAATTTTTGTAAGAATTTTAATTATTAACGTGATAAATAATAAATAATTACTTGATATGTGCAAGTGGTAACTGTAGATTTTAACTCGTTGTCAGTTTTCATAATATTTTCAGAAATTAGTGTAAAATGTGTGAAAAAATAATTTATATTTAATAGAAATTGCAAATTTTATTAAATTATTTTATTATTTAACAATCACATTTCATAATAATTGCAATTTAATTAAAAAATAACAGTTTTCTTAAAAGTGACAAGAACTCTATTATACCGACCACACACGGTAAAAGTGCGCGAATATGAATGCACATGATCTTCTGGCGGGAAAATTCAAATTGTTAATTACAACTATTTCATTATTATCTTAATTTCATTAATTAAATATATTTGATTAACCATAAAAGATAATCATTTTATAAAAATTTTCTCAGAAATGCCGAATTAATCATTTATTTATACCAATTTACTTATATTAATACTAATAATCACTATTTCTTTACTTTTAACTATCGCCCTATATTAGTTGCAGACGCCGTTAGATGGCAGCAGCATGCAGGGAGCACAAATTTCCAGCTATCCTATTACTTAAAATTAGTGATTATTAGCATTAGTATAAATAAATGATTAATTTTTTTATAACTTGTATTAAAAAACAATTTCATTAAAGAATTGTGAATATGAAATAAAAAATCTGCAACTTTTTTTTAAAAAAAAAAAAAGAATTTTGTTAAAAAAATGTAATTGTTAAATAAGTTTTAATGTAAATTTTTCTTATTTTTATGTCTAAAAAATTATATTTTTGTTAAAAAATTATGATGGCAAAATACAAATTTAACTAAATTTTTTGATCTTTTATTTAAGAATTTTTTAAAAAGTTATAAGTAAAAATTTAAGAAAAATATATCAGCTTAATTTTTATTATTTTAACAAAATTCTAAAGTTTTTTTTATAAATAAAGAAAAAAATTGCATATTTTCTATTTAATGAATGTTTAAAATTTGTAACTCTTTTCAAATCTTGGCGCGCGTTCCGCTGTTCCGTGTGTGGTCGGTATAATAGAGTTCTTGTCACTTTTAAGAAAACTGTTATTTTTTAATTAAATTGCAATTATTATGAAATGTGATTGTTAAATAATAAAATAATTTAATAAAATTTGCAATTTCTATTAAATATAAATTATTTTTTCACACATTTTACACTAATTTCTGAAAATATTATGAAAACTGACAACGAGTTAAAATCTACAGTTACCACTTGCACATATCAAGTAATTATTTATTATTTATCACGTTAATAATTAAAATTCTTACAAAAATTAACTCTATGAATGTTCATTTAACCTCACAATACTAATTTTTATAAATTTTCATGAATTTAAAGCTTTTTTTTGATAATTACCTAAATTCGACTTAGATTCGACCCAGCTGGGTCGATTTTAGGTAAATCGAATCCGCCAGGGTTAGAACATTTGGATTTAGAATTTTTAGATTAAGAACTTTTAGATTTAGAAATATTTTATTTTATAATTATATCCTTTAATAATTAACATTTAGGGAGCGTTCACAAATTACGTAACGTTTTTTTTTAATTTTGCCCCCCCTCCCCATGTAACACGTTATTGCATACATTAGCGCCATTTTTTCTGCTGTCCATAACAAAGTGCTTTACCCCCCCCCTCCCCCAAAAAATGTTACGTAATTTTTGAAAGCTCCCTTATATGCTGGAAAACTCAAAAATGTTAACAAACCTCGCTAGGGACTTCACGTTCGCGAGATAACGCTCGAATTGCGGCAGGTATACAAGGTACTAGCCACGCAACGCGGCAGCTTGACACAGCTACTACACACAAGGGATCTTTGAAATACGAAATCTAAATTTTTATTATGACAGATAAATTCAGAAAAACTATTTGATTACGAATTTCTCATTTTTTCTATTTATAAAAATAAATTATTTAAAAATAAAATTTAATTTTTTTTCTGAATTTTTACGCACATTTTAAAAGAAAAAAAAATCTTTTAGGGAATTTTTATCATTATGATTAGTTTAGAGTAAGAAAATAATAGAAAGAAGTAAAAGGATTAAAACAGACCAATCTGAAGTATCCCTCCGGGGCCTCCAAAAATTTAATTATGTTACGTCCGACAACGCAACATAATTAGTAAATTTTAATTTATTTTTGAGTCTAAACTCATTGTCCACAACTCAGGAATCATTCAAATTGGTTTGTTATATTTAAAGGTGAATTTAAAAGGATTGAAAAGATAATAATGCACTAAATACACTGAAATCTTTTCGGAAGATATTTAATAAAAAAAATAACGATCAAATCTTTTTAAGGATTGAAGGAACTAAAATGCGCAACTTAATCGCACTACGTCCTTCGGAATTAGAAGTATGACAAAAAAATAGATGAGAGGAGAAAAGTAATTTAGTACACAATAAAAGTACTTACTTTTTTAAAATTAATACGAATAAATTAATAATAATAAATTTATGTAATTTATAAAAACATTGTTATGTGTAATAATCATTATGTAAAAAAATAAAAAATTATTAACATATACTATAATAAAATCAATAATAATATGAGTTATATAATTGAAACTATTATTTTTCTATAAATACCAAGTAGGAAATATAAACTGATGCTGCTTCGTAGAGTTAACCATAAAATATTACGAAATCGAGAATATTGTGATAATTTTAGAAAAACAAAAGGAACTCAAAAGCGACTAACTTCAAGTGCGATCAGACGGAATTAATGAATACGGAGATTATTATACGTTTTACTATTTATAATAAAATTACATTATTATAAAATTTTACTTTTTAATGTAAAATATCGACAAAAAAGTTATTATGTTTTCATGTTTTATGTTTATTTGAAAATTCAATAAAAATTTTGTGAATTCTTATTTCTACTGTTTTTTTACATTCAATTTTTTCCGACAACAAAATATAATATAAATTAAAATATATTATAATTATATATAAAAAATACTATAAACTATAATTTCGAAACACAATGTGTAATAGACGTCCATATAAAAAATTTGTGTTTAAAGCAATAATTATTTTATTACAATTTATTATTCGGTAGGTGTGCTGCTCAAACTGGAACACCCTTTCTTCAAACTTTACCGCCTACAACAATGGAGACAAAATATTCTGAAATATACCTGAAGATGTTCAATCATTCACCAATCATTCATGCGGATAAAGTCAAGGCTCCCACTCTACTTCTTCTGGGTAGAAATGACATACGAGTACCAATTTTTCAAGGAAAATTATGGTACAATCGTTTAATAGCAAACAAAGTAAAGACAAAGTAAGTCATAATTTAATTAAATTTAAGAGGGAGAAATTCGAGTAAAAAAAATTTTTTTAACAATTTTTTTTGCTGTAAAAATTAGTTTTCTGAATCTTTTTTTTAAAGCAAAACTCTTACTTGAAATATCGGTCAAAAAGATGTATTATGTTATCAAAAAAGGAATATTGTAATCAATAATATTGGTTTAAATAAGATATTAATTATTTTCAACAATATTTTTAATAAAATAAGTCATTATTTTTTACAATATTTTTAATGAAAAAATTATTTTTTTCACAAATATTTTTGATCAAATAATTCATTATTTTTTCAATATTTTTAATGAAAAAATTAATTTTTTCACAAATAGAAAATGTAGCAAGTACATTTATCACTGTAGAGGGAGCAACTGGGCCAAGGGCCGAACTCTATTTCGCTTATTTTCAATGGTTGTGGTTAAATGACTTACGAAATGGCGGCGCGGATTGAGTTATAATGAGTGCAATCCGAGTGGGATAGAAAAGTTAAATGGAGGATAGAACGAGGAGGAAGCCAGCCACGTTCTGGAGGGAGGTTATGTAACAACAGAAAAAACAAACTCACTAATGGAAAAACGCAATATAAATTATTTATTTAAAATTTGAAGTACAACAACGGCGTCTCAAAATAGCGTGAGTAGGTCCAGGACTAAAGTGATCGTTTGTTCTAGGACTGGCACCGAGTTCAGTAGGAGGTGTTGGACACTTTGGCGGAGTTCGTGGCTGAGCGTCTTCGCCAATAACGGGCGAGTTAACTTGGGCCACGGTTGGCGCGACCACGGCCCTTGGTCTAGGGTAATTGCAGGACACGTAGTCGAACCGCGGCCAGTGTTGTCGTCGGAACGGTCGAGTCACGCCTCTATCCAGACTAGGTTCCGTACTCAGGCCAGCGGAAACAGTGACGGTGACCACTTGCGGTTGGCCGAATTCGGGCAGCGGTAATGTGGTGGGAAGAGCGTCTCAATTTACGGAGTCACGGCGTCTGCTGCAGTATTCTTTATATCCCGCGGCGTCGTGGATCTCCAGTTGGACTCCAGTTGTGGTTTAGGTATTATAACCAGCAAATGGTTTGTCCAGGTTCCGGTGGTGCCTCAGCGCCCTCTGGATCGAACGTTTCTTACTCTATGGACGAGAGAACAAGTGAATAAGAAACAGTAAGGTCGGGGTATGTTGCGGTCGAGAGGAAGCCAGCTCGAGTTTGCGCGTAGTATACTAGTATTGAGAGGAAACCAACTCAATATAGTATGTGCAGATATGTATGGAGAGGAAACCAACTCGATACCGTGTGTGTGTAGTAGTTCCGAGAGGAAACCAGCTCGGTATTGTGCGTAATGTAATGATATTGAGAGGAAACCAGCTCAATATAGTATGTGTAGATAGGTATCGAGAGGAAACCAACTCGATACCGTGTGTGTGTAGTAGTTCCGAGAGGAAACCAGCTCGGTATTGTGTGTAGGATACCGATATTGAGAGGAAACCAGCTCAATAAAGTATGTGTAGATAGGTATCGAGAGGAAACCAACTCGATACCGTATGTGTGTAGTAGTTCCGAGAGGAAACCAGCTCGGTATTGTGTGTAATATACTGATATTGAGAGGAAACCAGCTCAATATAGTATGTGTTGATAGGTATCGAGAGGAAACCAACTCGATACTGTGTGTGAGTAGTAGCTCCGAGAGGAAACCAGCTCGGTATGCAATGTTCGTACTAATAGTGTTTGTTATAAACAATTTAGCTATTCAATTCCAAAATTTACTTACCATTATGAAGTTTTAAACTCGGTGTTAGTATGATGAACAAAACAGGTGATAGTTGAAAAAAAATCTTTATTTAAATCAGTGGTCACACAAGAGAAAATTTCTAAGTACTCGCGGAAATTGTCTAAGTCCACCCGTGGCGAAAACTTTCTAAGTACGAATAGTCAAGAAATTTTCTAAGTCCCCACTTGGCGAAAATTTTCTAAGTACAAGATTCACGAATTTTTCTAAGTATAAAATTTCACGATTTATTCTAAGTATAAGATCGCGAATTTTTTCTAAGTCGAGTGTAGTGGTATGTAGGCAGAGCAGAGGAGGAAGACCAACCTCTATGTGAGCTCGAAGTAGAACTAACGTTTTGGTCCAGTGCATCAGCTATTATAATCCGTGACTTTTCCAAAACGTGAAGAAGTAGGAGAATTTTCCAAGAGTGGGGCAACCTCTCGTCCATACACTTCTTACTCTTGACTCGCGGAAACCGCGAAAAACCGCGAGTCAAGGGTCAAGTCGCGTGTTTTTACGCGAGATTTCCTCCTTCCTCGAAAATTCACACACATCTCTCCTCACCTACTTTAATTAAAGAATTAATTATTCTAATAATTATTATTAACAATAATCTTATAATTATATATAAAAATTAAAAAACATTCATACTTACTATCATACTCATCCAGCAAGAGATACATATACCCACGGCACACAGTCCTCATATGAACATTATATATATATATATACATGCATAATATACATATATATATATATATATATAAGCGCGGTTTCGCGTTTAATATAAAAACGCGAGCCTATATTAATAATAAAAATTAAAATTGAATCCGCGAACAACCCTTTATTTAAACAATTTAGAGAAAAATAAAGCGCGCAAGAGATCCGGAAAATAGAAAAGATGAGAAAGTGGCAGGCGAGAACGAAGGGCCTGACGCGCTGGAGTGGGGAGGGCATGGGCCTAATGCACGAGAGAGAGTAGGCGGCGCATGGAAGAAAGGAACGGGTCGCACAGAGAGAGTGGAGAGAGCGAATAGGAAAGCGTAGAGAGAGTACAGACAAGCGCGTGGCCAATGGTTCAGCCAAAGCCAGGGATGCATAAGGAAACGAAAGTTTACGCTCATAAATGTGCGTGAGTTCCACCTTCCTGATGCATCCCCGTTACTATGCGTAGTGACGGTATCAATTTTTGATCAAATAATACATATTTTCCACCAATATTTTTGATTAAAAAAATTAATTTTTCATAAAAAATTCCTTAAAAAATGTAGTTTTCTTTCTGTAAAGAGGAGGAGGTAAAATCCTATTTTTTATTGGCAAAAAAATCTCCATTTTTTATTAAGGGAATGGGACTAAATATTGTCAAATAAAAAAATTTAATTTTTTCTCCATTTTTAATTTTTAACGCCATGAATAGGAATCTTTCTTAATGGAGAGGAGTTTAAATCTTAATTTTTTTTGGCAAAAAATCTCTATTCTTTATTTAGTGGATAAAAATAAATATTGTCAAATTAAAATGGAGATTTTCTGCCAATAAAAATTAAGATTTAATCTTCTCCTGTCTACCGAAAAAAAATTCCTATTCGTTGTGTCAGAAATTAAACAAGTTGTAAATTCAGATGTTCATTACATGAACATTTTGCTTCCTCTTTACGATCAGCAAAAAAATTTGCTTCCTCGTGGAGAAAGCAAAATTTTATTGCTAAAATGTGAATTTTTGATTTTTTAACTTTTGTTAATTCTTTAAATTTACCTCAAATGTATACTTTCTATATATCGATCGATTCGTCTTGACGTAAGGAATACGGTTTTATTATATATAACCTTAAATTTTTCTATTTAAAAATTTTTTCGATTAACAAAAAAATTTTGGAAAAAAGACGATAAAATTTTTTTTTTGAGGTATTTTTAAAAATCCTTTGGTCAGATTTGAGATATTAATATGATAAATGAGCCTACCAAATTTTATCTAAATCCATTAAAACCTGTTAAAGTTATCTTTTAAACAAAAAAGGGATTCACACACACACATACACACACATACATACATCCGGACAATTGATCAGGATCTCATATAACATGTTTCTATAAAAAAAAAAATTTGTTTTCGCCACTTTGAAAAGTTTTATAAACGAAAGGACTACAAAGCTTCCTCCACGAGGAAGCAAAATGGAGAAAAAATTAAAATTTTTAAAGATTTTTTGCTAATAAAAATTAAGATTTAAACTCCTTCTCTCAACAGAAAGAAAAATTCTTATCGTGGCGTCAAAAATAAAAATAGTGAAAAAATTTAATTTTTGAATTTGACACTATTTAGTCTTTCCCCTAAATAAAAAATAGAGATTTTTTGCCAAAAAAAATTAAGATTTAAACTCCTCTCCATTAAGAAAGATTCCTATTCATGGCGTCAAAAATTAAAAATGGAGAAAAAATTAAAAAATTTTAATTGACAATATTTAGTCCCACCCCCTTAATAAAAAATGGAGATTTTTTTGCTAATAAAAATTAGAATTTTACCTCCCCCTCTTTACGGAAAGAAAAAATACATTTTTAAAAGAAATTTTCATGAAAAAGACTGGTAGACTGGGGTTCCCCTACGATCGTCTCGGTCATGATTACGTCGATATAAGACGACAACTAAACATACCTACATTAAAGTCTAAGCTCCTCTATAATGACATAATGTTTTTATATAAAATGGTCAATCAAAAATATTGCTGTCCAGCGCTTTTGGCTAAAATCAACTTTTTTGTACCATCTAGACGCTTGAGAGACCACTATCTTTTTCACGAAACTTCTCATCGATGCAATTATGCTGCAAATTCTGTTTTCTCGAGACTTTGTATCAAAGCTAATAAACTTTCTCATTGCATCGATATATTTGAAACAAATATGAATAGATTCATAAGTTTTTTGCGTACCGCTGTAAACTCTTTTGAATAATTCCGTTTCTCAATCTGTTAGTTTTTAAGGTCTTTGTTAAGGACAACTTTACTTGTCCGTATAATTTTGAAATAAATAAATAAATGAAAAAAACTACTTTTAATCAAAAATTTTTTTGAAATAAACTAATTTTTTAATCAAAAATATTCATGAAATAAATTAATTTTTTCATCAAAAAGATTCGTGACAAAAATTAATTTTTATAGGAATCATGGGTTTAAAAAATTATTTATTTATTGACATTAACAGGACAAGCCCTTTATATTTATTATATTTT